TTGACTGAACATCTTCCCTCTCTTGGGACTAGAGTTGATCAGCGGTCTTAAGACTGGATTACAAAGTCTCAGTCCAGATGGAACATAGAAGGCAGATGAGTTGGAGAGGGGCCAAAGGCTGAACCACAATGGAGAGAAGGGTTGATTTCTCAAGCTGGTCTATGCTAGAAGGTACAGGTACTTAGCAGGGAAATAATGTGGAAGGACCACTCCCTCCAGGACTCCTCCTTCCAGAACCTAGCCAGGGCTGTGGCTGATGGGCCCTTGGCCTGCCCTCTAAACAGTCTTCCTCCTCCTTCATCTGTCTTTCTTCCCTCCACTTTCAGCCTCACTCCCACATGGGAGGCCTGGTGCTCACTTTTAATGCTCTCATGTCTGTGTCTTCTTCCAGCCAGGGCAGCAGCCCTGGCTCCTGTACTGAGCACCTACAGGTGGCAAGCACTCTGCTGGTTGCAGGACAGCTCAATCCTGGTAGACATTGGCAGACTTTTACTCTTTGCTTGCCTAATGGAGACCAGAAGCTCCTGTCTGACTAGACCTAGATGTCTGGGCTGTTCCAGGGGTTGCACAGCAACCTCCTGGGTTATTCTATTGAGCATTAACCCTACTGATGGCCACAATGACAGGAGCAGCCAAGAAAGGCACTTACCCTCCACCAACTCTTCCATCTTCTATCCATTCCAAAATCCAACATCTCAAGAAGGGACCTGGAACTGCTTGGAGCTAAGGATCTTGTGTGGAACAAGAAATCTAACTTGGCTGTGTCACACTGACAGCAATCCCTATCAAATGTTTCTGTTGTTCATGGTCCTTTCCCAGTGCCCCTAACCCTCTAGGAATCATTAAGTAATTTTCCTTCTTGTCAGTCTCTCTGGTTTCTCCTGTCTCCTGGACTCACAGACCTTCCCCAAGGTGGTAAAGCTTCCATGCCCCAACCTTGTCGTTCACAGCAGTTCAGCTCACCTCAGCCTCTGCCACAGAATTTTTTACGCCCTACCTATCTCAGCTTGTGCAAAGGGCCTTGCCAGAAGCAAGGCCTTCTTCCTGTGCCTGTGACACGTGGATTGAACCTGGACCTGACCAGCGGTGTGGGCAGGTGAGCATGAGGCCGAGTTCTGTCATACCTCTTTTCCATAGAGTCAGTGTTCTGGCTGCCAGCCACTAGGAAGAACCTAGTCTTTTCTAAAACACATACTGGGATGTCCTTTCTCAACCATGGTCAAGGCCAAGCATCCATCCTCAACAGCAGGCGATCCTGAGTTTTTCTGGCAAGGAGTACTTGCCACGTGCAAAGTTCTCTATGAGAGGGCAAATGTGCAGGTCTGCCTCTAGGATTCCAACTGAGTCTCCCCTTCTTGCAGTTTTAGAAAGAAATGGCCCAGCCTGGTGGTGCAGTTGGTCGCAAACTGAACTGCAATGCTGGAAACTGCATGGCCAACTGTAGGTTCAGATCCTTGGATCGACTTGGATTAAAAACATGCCTGTGTGGCCCTAGATACTGAGGAGCTGGAGGGCTAGAAAAAGGGGGGGGTGTCTCAACATGGTGAGATTCTGTCTGTGCTTCTCTCAAGATCTCTCTCGTGTAAGTGCATGTGCTCTCTACCATGAATAAAATAAACTTAAAAAAAAGAAGTAAATAGTCAGTCCTCCCCTCCCCCCTCCCAGAATAAATGCCTCTGTGCATTTGAAGACAGTAGTTAAGTTGTTCTTGAGCTTTTTCATCTCCAAAGTAAACAACCTCAGCCCCTGTAACCTCTCCTTGGCAAAGTCTAAGGCCCATATGCTGACAAAAAGCAAAACAAAGTCATCTGATGGGGAGGCCTCCTATCTCTAACCAAGAGTTGTGTTTTGAAATTTGCTCTGCACTTGGGTCTTTAATTACATGTAAATTCAGTAGCTTTGAGTGACTGAGCCAGCGAGAGACCAGGTGCTGTTTGTCAGGCCCATTGGACGTGCCGGCATCCCAACCAGCGCTAGCTGGGTGTCAGCTCTTGGCAGACGCTTGTATATCTCCTTTAGGTTCATTCTGGGACATGGAAAGGGATGTCTGTGAGTGATCCAGAAGTCCAGTCACCTGGAACTTCCTGCCTGGCCCCTTGGAGGTGGGATGGGTCTCAAGAGATCCTAGAGAGTTAGCAGATTGTCCTATGACCCCACAGAAGCTGGCCAGACTGGATTCCAGGTGCTCCAGTGGAGGCTGGTAACCTCACCCACACCAGCATTTCCTTAGGGAGCTTCCTGCTGCTTCTAATGCAGAGAGGCTGCCGGTGCTGGGCACTTGACCTGGGGGAGGTTCTGATCACATTCATACCCTTCCCCTTGGTTCTTTTCACGTACCATTCCCACATTTTCATGTGCTATCTTGGCCATCCAAGGTTGGCCAAGGTTAGCACGTTTCTCTGTCCTCCAATTTCTCCTCCCTGTGGACCAGTTGCCCTTCCTTGTTTCCAGGGTTCTTGCTTCCTTCAAAGCCCAGTGTTTGTAGTTCAGGCTGAGCCTCTAGAATTAGGGAGTCATTACAGGAAGGATATTTAAAAAGTTCATGAAAAATACATATTATGAAAAAGCTATACATGAATTTCAAATTTTTTGTACAAAAATAAACTTAAACTTTTAAAAATAATTATTAAATTTATTTTAATTTATTATTATTTCATTTTCTACAGGAATGCATACTCATCAGAGAGAGACAGAGAGGGAAAATGAAAAAGTAAGCTGCCAGGTCCTGGACTTGAACTACAGTCAGCCACACGGGAGTCTGGCACCTAAACCACCACGCCACCTGCTGGCCCCTAAACTACTACTTTTAATTCCATGTTCCCATGAATTTTTGAAATCCCTTTCATATAAGCACATAAGCAAATTCATGACTTCTTTTAAATTGAATATTTATTTATTTATTTATTTAGTAATTTGTCTGAGAGCAAGTATGTTTGCCTGAGAAAGAGAGAGAGAGGGGAAGGAGAGTGGGAAAATGAAAAAGCATTCTGCTTCCCCATGGGAGACAGTCACTCTGCAATCTCTTCCATTTCTCTCTCCCTTTGGAATTTTGGGCATGTGTACACATGCACCTATGCATGTCTCTCCAGCTGCCAGGTCTGGGATTCAGTTGTGTAGTTTTTCATGGTCTTCCATGTGTGACCAGCCACCTTTACCACCATGCCACTGGCTGTCCTGCCATTTTTTTTTTTTTTAATAAAGAAAAGATTACTTAGCACCAATCATTGTGTGTTCCATCCTAGTTATTCCCTGAAGTGGACACAGAGTAGAAGACAGCTGAGTGTGTACTCAGTCCATCTGTACCTTGTCCTGGCACACTGCTCAGCTGGGAACACTTGGATTTGCTACGGTAGGATTTACTTTTAGGAGACATAGTTTTGGCCAGCATTCCTAAGCAAAAGTCTCTAGCTGCTGCTCAGCCAAAGGGAAGGCACCTTTGCCCAAAATCCCAAGAGGAAAATGGAGGAGAAGGGATTATGGCATGGCCATCCCTGCTAGGAGGTGATTTCTCACTTTTTCTCTCTCCTCTCTCTCTCTCTGTGTCTTTCTGGCAAATGCACCCTTATAGCAAAAATCTCTCCAGAAAAAGAAAAGAAAAGAAAAAAATGTGCCTTGGGAATGACCTTAACCCCCTAGATGGAGGTGCCTCCACTGTGTGGCCCCTGGCCTGGTCTTAGCTATCAGACCGTGAACTTCCTCATTCTTGTATCTCCAGCTCCCAGGATTGTGTGTGAGACTTGAAAGCCTTTAACAACCATTTTTTGACTTTGTTGAATAGTTTAATTAACTCATTAGAGATGCAAAGTTCCAAATGAATACGTATGGCATGACTACTGTGTACACTACACTATCAGTGTTAAGGAACAAGGATACGAAGAGACAAAATCACACTTCTTCTCCCCAGAATGTTTATAGAGTCATCAGGAAGACAAGACATAGACATGTGGAATGTAAATAAAATATCCAGTGATGTACCCCATCTGTGCCAAAGATATATTCACAGAGACGAGGTTTCTTTTGCTAAACTCCTGTTTTCTAAGGCAGTTCTTCCTGAAACATTTTCTTCAGAATACCAGTTTCTCAGGGTGTTAGTGAGAAAAAGTTTTCATAACAGATTTCTTTACCACAGGATATCTTGAAGACTTTTTAAAAAGTAATCCTTATTGATATATAATTTTTATGTCACTCATTTTAAGAATCCAATTACTGGTATATGGTATAGTTACAGAGTTGTGCAGATCTCACCACAATATAACTATAGAACTCTTTTATTACCCTCAAAAGAAAACTCATGCCATTGCAGTGACTCCTCAACTCTTTTCCTGCTAAACCCTGGCAACCTATAATTTACATTCTACCTCTAAAGATCGTCTATTCTAGACAATCCATGTAGATGGGATCATGTAGTATGTGACATTTTGTGACTGGTTTCTTTCACTTAATGTAATGGTTTCAAGTTCATCCATGAGGTTGCATGTATCAGTTGATGGACATTTGAGTTATTTTCATTTTTTGTCTATTAGAAATAATGTTGCTATAGACATTCAAGAGCAAGGTTTACTTGGATAGATCTTTTCAATTATCTTGGGTATAGATCTAGGATTGGAATCGCTGGGTCATATAGTAGAACTGCATTTAGCTTTTTGAAGGACCATTAAATGCTTTTTCAAGGAAACTGCATCATTTTATTTTCCTTCCAACAAGGTACAAAAATTCCAATTTATCTACATTCTTGCCAACTCTTGTTATTGTCTGTCTTTTTTATCTTAGTCATCCCAATGAATGCAACTTGGCATCTAATCGTGGTTTCAATTTGCATTTCTCTAGTGACTAATGACATTGAATATCTTTCCATGGGTTTTGGAGCCTTTGATATGTTGATTGCCTTGTGACTCTTCAAAGGGGACATAGTAGGCAGCAGTTCTTAAGTGCACTAGACCATGGAA